TTTTGCATAAAATACATTTTATAAAGTGTTCATAATAACGACATGTCTCACACGTGGACTATAAGACAAGAATAATATAAATCACCAGACAATTTGGCCTGTCTATGCGGTGAACAGTGAGTTTGTAAGCATATACATTTCCATAGAGTGTAGTAATTTAATCTAGTACAATTCTCTGCTGCCACCTTTCCATTCATATCAAGCTTATATTACGTACCCCCTCCTCTTCGCGATGCGCACTAACTATTTTAAAACGGATTTGTTAATAATAAATTCATAAGTTAAAAAAAAAACATTGCAATAATAATCCATTTAAAGGCTCGTGTCAGCACATAAAACGAAATGTCAACAAATTAAATACAATCTTTTTGTTTATGTTTAACTGTTATAGTGTTTTGTACGATTCCATTAAACCGCATTTTCTGGATACATAACACTCGACACATATTTGTCTATTGTCTAACACAATGACTAACACAATCGTGTGAATAAATGCAACCGATTTCACAGGGGAAAACAATTGTTTGATGTTACTAAGTGGCGTGAAACCATTCACTCAACTCAATGTGAACCTATTAAAGTTCCTCATTCCCCTTTCAAAATTTGAATATGAAATTATTCTACATTTTGTATAATTATATAATCTAAATGGATATACATTCCCATTAACATTTTGTTGAAAAAAAAGAGGTGACCAAAATGCCATTGGCATCAAATATAAATTACAGAGTATGTTTAGACTAACAACATCTCAAAACTTTCTGTAATAAATACATCGAACAATGTGTTTGGTGTCGCAAATTTTAACGTGTTACTGTTATATAATTGAATGCCGGCAGTGCTTAAAGCGCGGTGGTCGTCGCGCAGCGCGTGTTCGAATTCCATGTAAACAAACAATGTATTTTACACGCGTATTGTGTACGTCGCTATGAGTCCCATATCGAAACAGGACGTGGCGTGACGACCACCGCCATTTAAAGACCGCTTTTATGACAAATAAGCTTACTATCTGCACAGTTTAGTTTTTTGAAGCATGACAGTTGCAGTTGACTGTGGTGTGAATAAGCACAGTACTTCCTTGCATTTTCCGAATACTTCTTTATTACGTTGCAGGTTACCATGCACTTATTAACATTGGAACCAAGCAAATGTAATCCTGTATGCTTGTATGTATGTATGATCCGAGGTAAACTTTACATCAACGAGCTCGATAAATTGTACCACGGATGCCTAAAATTAATTTAAAATATGATTGACTTGATACACATTTAGTCATTTTCACGTCATTTAGTCATTTTCACGTGATACGTAAACTAATCACGATGCGCGCTCGTTGTTTACATGCTATAGCTATCAAGTGACTATATTTTAACTAGTACATAGTCGACTCGACAAACCTCCAGTTCTTAGTTTGGGATAAGACTTCCTTAAGTCCTCATTCTAACTCTACCCTAAACCCGACACTTTATTCCAGTTCAAATTTGGTTGTACGGTATATGCCTCTCCATTTAAATCGCCATATAAATTAACATCGTTGACGATTTCCATGTTATTCTTTGAGATTTGGGGGACAATTCCAATTAATGTAGTGTACCTTATAAGATATCTGTATCAAATTATTACTCTTGGTGATTACTAAAGCCAATATTTCCGATTCTTATTTTGATCTGTTTATTAATTTCTGTGCTCATTTTTTAAATATTACCATTAGTTCTACTTATAGCTTATCTTGATTTGAATTTGTATATTTCGATCCATTTATTAATTTTGTGCTCATTTTTATTGGCGATCCGCTCCGCTAGGATTGCCCTTATAATCACTTTTGTTGGCGATCCGCTCCGCTAGGATTGCCCTTATAATCACTTTTGTCGTTTTGTGTGTGTGTGTGTGTGTGTCTGTGTGTGTACATTTCCAGTGTTCACTATTATTTATTCTGTGATTTTTTTGGCTTGGCCGATTTCGTTCAAACTTGGCAGGTAGGTCACACCTTAACCCTAGTTATAAGGAAAAATCTGAAAAATTTTTTTGGCCCACTGTTGCCATAGCAACAGCAAAAAACTGATTTTTGGATAGCTTCACGCCAAATGTATCTCCTCCTACAAATTTGGGATAAAACACTTCAGACATAGCTCATTCTACTCAGCTTGAGTGTGGGCACAAATTTACCATTTGAATTTTTGATATCTGTTTTCATTACCAAGAAATTTGACCCTAAAGTTGGGGTAACTTTCACCAGCAAC